TCCGATAATGAATCTTGAATGAAGATCATCTAGCGTCACCAATGAATGGTTTGTTACATGTATAGCCCTCGTCAACATAATCCTAAGGAGGAATTGATATTATTAATGAATGGTGATTATGGGAAGCACTAGGTATTTTCATAAAGCACACAATGGTAATTCTACTTTTCGATTATATTTTAGTCATCCTCAGCAATGGATCAAATTAGACACATTGATAACAGTGCCTTGTATACCCTAGTTGCAGTTAGCTTTTTCTTAATGATGCTATGCCTATTGATAGAACACCGATAATTCTCACAATGCTTTCATTAAAATTAAAATGCCCGGTCTCTCATTTCAACAAATCTGGGATCTGACCAACTGGGCTAATAGTTTGTGCTTCCTTACATGAACAAAATGTAATTTTCTATGCTAATATTATTATGGCTCATTTGAACAGGCCATACAAATCAGGTTAAAATGACCAAGGTACATATTTAATTTGAAGCTACATGTAGGGATCGCCCTTCAGTGCCCTCACCCCACTCCTCCATTGGCAATGCTTGGATGTGAAAAGCCTATTCTTTATAGACCATGTACAAACTTCTTCACATTCATAATTCAATATTTAATACTAGAAGTTACTATCGCAAGGGAAGTGCTGCCTCAACACCAAAGTCCTGGGGGTTGATTATACCAATAAACTTCATTTACTTAAATTGCCTTATACACAGGGTATGTATGAATTTATTTTGTTTAAGAAATATCGAAATTACAACATGCAATAATTACTATATATACTATAAAGTGTAGTTCGTATTTCCATATTTAAATGTATGCTCGTGATTGTTGGTACCAATGTTTTAAACAATCTTCACTTGTCAAAACGTCTAGAAGAACACAATGAGGAATATACACGATATGTCTTTTAACATGATATGACCAGTTTGTTGCAAGTTTTGATATTCTTTCTTTCCAAGGTAATGATAGTCCATACTGTATTTTCCATTTTGTAAACAAGTCTTATACTATTCGTTTTTTGTCCAATATATAAATATTTCGTATTTATTTAGCATGTACAGGTAGTATCCATTGTTGGCCATCATTATTGTCCAATAACTTGTTAGGTTACTGTACATATAAAGGTATGTAATATCTTGGCATACAATGTTCCTGACATCCATATGGTAGATTGGAAACAAGTACAGCAAAATTCAGATTCCATCCCATTGCATTAGATGTAATATACAGTATCCATACAAACTTGTAAATCAGCATTCTTGTTTTAATAGAAATACATTTCTGTTAATCCAGAAGCTCCCATCCATTTTCATGCAATGTAATATATCCATATTATATTTTGACTTTAACAACCATTTGGTTTCATACAGCAGTTAACATGGCACCATTCACATCCGTCAGAATTGCAAAACTATAGAAAAAATAATTGCCAGCATGAGATATTTACTTAGTTTCCTCTGATCACTTTGTTTTTTTAGACTCACAATCCTTTTGAAGTCTAATTTGTTTTTCACTGTCAGTTTCCTCTGAACGTTTCTGTTTAATAAACTCACTTAATTTTTGAAGTCTTATTTGCCGTTCACTGTCAGTTTCCTCTGAACGTTTCTGTTTAATAGACTCACTTAATTTTTGAAGTCTTATTTGCCGCACACTGTCAGTTTCCTCTGACTGCTTTCTTTTTTTATACTCACTAGCTTTCTTCAGTCTAGCTTGTTTATCACCTTCATTTTCTATTAAAAGCCTCTTTTTCAGGACACTTACGTTTTTGCTCTGAAGCTTTACATATATTTAATTGCACAGGTACAATTTCAAATAAATTGGCATGCAATGTCACTGAAACAGAATACAAATATTGTTCTAATTCTAGAATATTAGCAAATTTCATGACAACAGCAGTGCCATTAGGATCAGGCATTCCATTAGAGTCTCTGGCATGGGAGTCAAATAAATAGAAAAAATCTGCTTGCTTCATCAATGCCATCATATAGCCTTCTAATATTAAAATAGTACAACTATAATTTGAAAACACATTCAAAAGTGCTGTGTGAATGTCATAGTAGTGTGACTCAATTTCTCGGTTGGTTATAACAAGACCTTGAAGCTCTTTTCCATAATTTATAAACCAAATTTGGTTTTTATTGTTTTCCTCATTAGGCACCACAGAATTGTGCTCTACACCAATAGATAGATCAGTGTTACCCCTTGCCACAATGGGCAGATCAGTGATACTTTTTGCCTCAACAGGCTCTACCACAATGGGTAGTTCAATGTTATTTTTTGCCTCAACGGGCTCTAGCACAATGGGTGGACTGTTATTATTTTGTCATACCACCACGGGTAGACTGTTACTGTTTTGTCCTACCATCACAGGTGGACTGTTATTATTTTGTCTTACCACCACGGGTAGACTGTTACTGTTTTGTCATGGAAAAAATGGCATAAGTCTAGTCGATTATGCAATTTGTGATCAAGATTTTACACAAATAGTTGAAAACCTAGTTGTAAAACCTCCAACCTACTTATCTGACCATTCTCAAATTTTGACTTGGATTAAAACAAAGCAACCAAATAATCAAAACTCTACTGCTACCCCTAATATTCAACATAAGCTCCCTTTGCAATTCATGTGGGAAAACAACTCAGCTATTTTATTTAGAGAAAGCTTGCAATCATTAGAAACCCAAACTAAACTTAATCAATTGATTAATTCTCCCACTCCATTATCGAAAGAAGGAATAAGTGGGTTTGCATCTGAATTTCAAAATATTATTTTACATGCAGCTACAAAATCACTTAGAATCAAGAAGACAAAATATAGACATAAGATTACCAATATTTGTAATAAGAAATGGTTTGATAAAGAATGTAGACTTAAACGTCACAGCGTCAGAAAATTAGCTAATCAAAAACACAGAGATCCGTTAAATAATGAAATACGAAATGAATATCACAATGCTCTTAGGATTTACAAAGACACTTTGAAGCACAAAAAAGAATTATTCCATGAAAACAAACTGAATGAATTGGAAAGAGCTTCTGAAACAGATTCAAGTTTATTCTGGAACACTCTAAAAAATATGAGTGATAGCTATGATGACTTTTCCTCTAGTTCACCTGATATAACTACCCAAAATTGGTTTTCCCATTTTAAACAGCTACATGCAAAACATAATCTAGGTACTGAACAAGAAAATATTTTACAACAACTAGATATGCTCAAGAACAACAAAAAAGAAAATAATTTTCTTGATAACCCTATTTCTGAAAGCGACATTCTTAATGCAGCCAAGAAATTAAAAAACCGAAAATCAGCATACTCAGATAAGATAAAAAATGAAATGATCAAATCGAGTGTAGAAATTCTCCTTCATGGTTACTATAAATTATTTAATCTCATCTTAGAATTTGGAAGTTTTCCAGACCAATGGTGTGAAGGCCTAATAACACCCATCTTTAAATCTGGAGATAAGAATGACACCAATAACTACAGAGGAATTTGTGTCACAAGTTGTCTGAGCAAATTCTTCTGCATAATTCTTAATGAACGCCTAAATGGCTATGCTCAAGAAAATGACCTGGTCCACCCATCCCAAATTGGATTTCAATCTGGTCACAGAACTGCTGACCATATCTTCACTTTAAAAACACTTTTTGATAAACACATGAGCACAAACAGAAACGACAAAGTTTATGCGTGCTTTGTGGATTTTAAAAAAGCGTTCGACTCAGTATGGCATGAAGGCCTATTTTTTAAACTCCTTGAAAACAAAATTGATGGAAGTTTCTTTAGACTAATTAAAAGCCTCTATGCAAATTCGAAATGTGCAGTCAAGCTATCTAAATCAAGAACAGAATTCTTTTCATACTCTAGGGGTGTACGCCAAGGATGTGTACTAAGCCCAATTCTGTTTAATTTATACATTAATGAGCTAGCAACAATATTTGAAAATACTAACTCAGACCCATTTATCCTTCCAAACGGCACTAAACTGAGTTGTCTTCTATATGCTGACGACTTAATAATATTATCAAAATCAAGATTTGGACTTCAAAAATGCCTTGATGAACTTCAAAACTGGTGTAATAAATGGCTGATGGAGGTAAACCTCAAGAAAACAAAAATCATGATCTTCAAAAAAGGGAATCCAAAAATGATTAAACCAAATTTTATGCTAAATACCAAAAATGTCGAAATAGTAAATGAATATTGCTATTTAGGTATCAAATTAAATTCAAATGGCACTTTCACACTGGCTCAAAAACAACTGAGCGAAAAAGCACTACACGCATTAGGCAGCATACGAAGACACCTCAACCTACATTACCTTAATCCTAAATTAGCTATCAAGATATTTGAAAGCATAATATCACCCATACTCCTATACAACTCAGAGATATGGGGTGCTTATCTCAAAAATGATTTCAACAAATGGGATAAGTCACCAACTGAGAAGGCCCACCTACGGTTCTGTAAATTATACGTAGGTGTAGGGAAAAAAGCTAGCAATATGGCTTCGAGAGGAGAACTAGGAAAATTCCCTCTACAAATTAGTATATACAAACGATTATTCAACTATATAGCACACTTGAATTCATTACCTGAAACAGCAATTGCAAAACAAGCTTTCTTAATATCAAAAGACCTATACTCGAATAATAAAATGTCCTTTTATAAAAATGCTATGGATAATTTAAAACACTACAAATGCCACTCGCAAATAGTGGATTTAGAATCAATATCTGCTCAATCATTAAATTCTATCAGTGACACTGTTAACAACGTTACATTACATTCTGGAAACACCAAATTGAACACTCGTCCAAATTATATTTCTACTCGACTTTCAAAAAGGAATACCAATTAGAAAAGTATCTTACCGTAATAAGAAACACAAACCAGAGGAGATCACTGACTCGATTCCGAATAAGCAATCACAAATTAATGATTGAATGTGGTAGATACCACAACATTCCCCGAATATGTAAGCTTTGTAAGAAGAACGAATATGTAAGCTTTGTAAATCAAACGAAATAGAAAATGAGGAACACTTTCTTATTTCATGTGATGCCTACGACAATGTTAGGCAAGACTTCCTCACTGTTCTCGCCAACAATACATACCAAAGAGAACAAAATCTATCAGTTGACATATTAAAGTCAACTGAAAATGAAACGATTCTAAAACTATCCAAGTTTGTTCTTTCCTGTTTCGAGCTAAGAGATAAACGCCTTGAGACCAGGGATGCTGAACACTAAAGTTCAATATTATCGTATTTGACCTCTATCTTGTAAATAGCCTCTTTACCTTATTGTAATCTTGTAATAGGTCGTATTTAGCCTGTAGTAGTTAACTTTACTCTGTATGTTTAGTTATTGTAGTTAAAGCTTTAGCAATACCTGTAACTGTTGGTCATGCTAATAAAGTTATTATACCACTACCACTACCATCACAGGTGGACTGTTATTATTTTGTCTTACCACCACGGGTAGACTGTTACTGTTTTGTCCTACCATCATAGGTGGACTGTTATGATTTTGTTGTACCACCATGGGTACACTTTTACCATGGGTAGTTCAACGTTAATTTGTGTATCAAAGGGATTCATAGGTGTTGTAGTTGTTTTCGCATGCACTACAGATGATATATTACTTGTGTCGATGACAGAATCACATATCTCGTAAGAAAACATGTTCGTACAACTTGAAACACTGACAACTTTAGGTAAGTTATCTACAGATAGGAATTCGACACCAGGTTCTAAGACAACAAAGCCATTATCCACAGCTTGCAAATACATTTTGTCTCCTTGTAATAAGACATTATTCAATCTTGTTTTCGACCAATCGATCACTGGGATACTTTGGGCAGTTAAAATTGCAGATAAACTCATAAAAGCACATTGTTTGCCTCTAGATTGAACACTAAAAAGGTCATCGCCTTGATGTATTTCAGAAGAAAGAAATAGAGCCATACTTAACTGAATTTTTCCGAAAATTTTCGATAACTTGCATCCGTATAAAAAGCCTGTATGAAACCAATTGTAAAATCTTGATTCTTGAGCACATGGAGTTGCGTGCGCAATACAAAATCTTGTTTCTGACCGCTCCCCTCATTTAACAAACGTTCTCGATGCTTAATTTTTCCCCCCGGATTACGACATCTTTACATACAGACAGACAGACACAAGATCGAGATCTCGACAATACATAGATCGCGCGAAAGACTGGGACGAGTGGACTCTGGAGAAACACCGCGTAGTCAAGAATAGTGTGCTGCCTCTACGAGGCAGC